ATAATGTCACACCCACTAGGCCTGTGGGAAGCACAAAGTATTTGCTTCGGATTCGGAGGGACAGTGATTCAAATCACAGTCCCAATTCAATTCAGCCGAATCTGAAGATATTCAGTGCTGGATCTTATTCAGCCATGGCCTATACAGGCAGGCAGTGCCAGCAGGAGCAGCTCAGGGAACAGCCGAATGAGACCTGGCTTGAGCCAAAAACCCCTGGAGAAGCCACAGCTCATCTAGCTGCCCCCCTGCCAGGGTGAGGCAAGCAGTGCTGGCAGCCCTGGGAGAAGCCGCAGGGACTGAGGGGAATGATTGGGAAGCTGGGGGATCAAACCGGTAACTTGGGAATCAAACCAGGAGCTGGGAGGAAGCCCCTGTTTGTTTCCCCAGCTCCCAGCTGAATTCCCCAGCTCCCTTCAGCCCCTGCAGCTTTTCCCGGGGCTGCCAGCACTGCCTGGCTTGACCCGGGGGGAACAGCCGGGGGAGCAGCTGGACGAGCTGCAGCTTCTCCCAGGGCTGCTGACTCAAGCTGCGGCTTGTCCAGCTGCTCCTGCCAGCACTGCCCAGTGACTGCCTGTACAGTCTATGGCCGAGTCTCCGAATATCTGTGAATCGATTTGGAGGCTTCTGATTTGACTTGGAGTGATTAATGGGTCTCCTAATTCAAGTTGGATTCAGAGATTCAGCTGCTGAATCAGGCTGAATCTCCTCCGAATCAAATCAGCTACTGAAGTTTCGCCAAAGATTAGCACTAAGCTCTGAATTAGCTAAGTGTTTCTAGTTCAAATCCTTCAGCATGCTGGTGGAAAAATCATTTAAGAGGCCTTTGCCATGATGCAGTCAACTGAGAACAGATAATATGGATTGATTTGGCAATTATTTATCCTCCAAACCCACACAAACAGAAAAGAGGTGCAAAAACTCAGAAGAGAGACAGAAATCTATATTTCATTTACCAATCTGATTTTAAAACTTCTATATAGAAAATGTTCCAGAGAAATTAAAAAAAGTTTCACAGAAAAAAACCCTCTCTCACCAGCTACTGTACCACTTTTGTAAAGAGGGTTTTTTTGCCAGACATACACAGAAAAATTAGCTTCAATATAGTCTTTAGAAACAGCTTAAAGAAGCCTGAAAGACTTTACATGGCAAAACTGAAGTTACCTTTCCCTTCGCCAATGGTTAGGTTTGTACGCCTCTTAGCAGCACTTTAAGATTAGAAGTGCTGGGCAAGTTAGTAACCTAGTGTTATGTCTGCGGAGACTCACTCCTTTAAAGTGCCTGCCAAGTATTTAATTTTGCTTGTGTTGAAATGAAATGGAGAGCATTACTAAGAACAACTGAAGAACAACATGCAGTTCTTGCTTTCTGCCTTACTGGAAACATGTAAAAATGGAGATGAAAGCAGTATGATGCAAACCGCATATGGTAAATAGCTGGGAAGTATTCTAAAAAAGAGAATATGTGTAGGGGCATAAAGGGAGGATTTTTGGCACAATATATTTCTTAAAGACAGTATACAATTAAATATATATATTTTAGAAAAGAAGTCTCTGTATAATAGGATCCAACACAATAAACTCTATTTTTAAAAATAATCTAAGTCTTTTTAACAAAGACTTTGGCTTTGATTTTTGGGGTGGAATTCATCAAAGTGTTGGGTGTAGGGGCCACAACAATACATAGCAGAAGTACTCCAGCATACCTTTCCATTTTGGAAATTTAAATGGTTCATTGGCCTGTTGCAGAACCCTGATTTTCACACACAGTTACTAGTTCACTGTTTTTTTCACTCAAAAATGGATAGAAAGCAGCAAAATTCAGTAATGTGCATGTTAAATTCTACTTAAGGCAGAACAATGCAAAAATAATTGTTATGTAATTAATTACATGGCACCACAATACAAATATAGTTAGCCAATCTGTGAACTTTTAGTAACAGGTAGAAAAATACAGCATTTTATATATTTGTACAGTTGTAATTAAGGATAGATTAATGATGTAAAAATGGTTCAATGGTTAGGACAGCAGTTACCAAAATGTAAAAAAATAAACTACTTACATCATTTGCTATCTTGTATCTGCTATTTCTGAATCATTGAAGACAGTAACATTGTTTGATATGCAACACACTCTCTGACACTACCTTTCAATTCCAAGAAGGATAAAACAGTTTTTAAAAAAAAATATGTACTTAAAATGTGTGCATTTTTTCCACTAAATCCTGAAAGCTGCTTCAGATAGTTGGACTCCTGAGTCAGCCTGGATCCCCTGTGAGGGCAACAGGGCGCTTCAATGGAGCCTGGCCATACCCACACCTGAGCAGCTGGAAAAGCCAGATCCTAAAACACGAGGCGCAGTGGACCGGAGAAGGATTTGCCTAAAGGAATTTGTTATTTTCTACATGCTTCAGCTACAACATTTGCTACTGATTTACCGTGTATTGAAAAAATGGCCTTGTGCCTAATGGCACATGACTTCACAACACTGGTGGTATTCAACTGCCATACTAAGCCTGATCCTGCAACCTTCCTGGTTGCAGAACTCACACTGAAGCCAGTAAGAAAAGAGTATAGGAACAGTTGCAGTAATTTTGCAAAAACACCTTGCTTCAAGATGTACAAACTCACCGTGACCAGAACTAATCCCCTACAATTACTGAAGGACCTTGTAAGCAAATACTCTTCCAGATTTCAGAGGTAAAAAAAAACTCAGGTCCCTGGAATCATTAATAACAGTAAAACCTATCCCTTCCTATATACATGGTACCTAGAGTTCACTGGGCTGCAATTCATCCTTTCATAGAGGACTGAAAGTCTATATACCAATTAACTCCTATTCCAGCCCTTAAAACAGAGCTTTTGTGAGAGGCAAGTGCTGTGAAACCCACCTGTGCAGCCATTTCACTCTCTCCGAGTCAGAAGGACTTTTTGCTTTTCTGATTACATTTTGGTTTTCTTTACAATATATAAATTAAAAAAAAAAAAAAACAACTCTGCCCCATAAGCAGCCCTATTATTTAACAGATGCAGCAGAGAAGGCTAGACAGATAGGACATTAATACAAAGATCATGTCTGAAGGAGTGATGAAATGGGCAAAGGAACAGTAAGAAATGTGTGTTATTGTTCCAAAACTAATTTTCAATTTATTTCAGTGTGTTCCATGTGTAGGTCTTCAGGCTCTTCCACAATCTTTTGCTCCCAGTCAGAACCCACAATTGGGAACAAAATGGTTCTTGGCTGTCTGACTACTAGTTGAGACTACCTGTCAAACCTGTAGTGTTCAAACCGTCAAAGAGACTCTCTGTGGTGTTAACTAAGGCTGTAGAAGAAGCAGGATAAATGATCTCTTCAACTGTCACATATGTCCCTGTTAAAAATCCAACTATTCCAATTATAGCTATAAAGATGTCCTTACATATTATCCAGGAACTTAAGTTTTCCTTGTAAAATGTGAGGATTTCAACCAAAGGTGGCAGAATCAACGCCAACGTGCTGCTGCTTACAGCTCCAACAAAAGATATCACCAGGTCCAAGCGTGGGATCAAGATAGCTACTGCGCCTGAAAGACAGAGGAAAATCACTTGCTATTTTAAATTCAGTATATTCATGAAAAAAACCTTAACAATATGTAACCAAATAAATCAAAAACTTTAATTTATTTCAGCAATCTGTCACCCTCTTCCAGTTCAAAACAGTGATTTGAAAAGTTCCCAGCCTCTGCTAACACAAAAAATGTATACAATACATAAAGAAATAAATAGGAAAAGAAATAATACTGCTAATAGAAGGTAGTTAGCTTGGTTTTCAGATCCCAATGGTAAAAGGCTGGCCAGTAAAGGAAATATTTTAAGTACTTATAGACTAAATGAGTTAGCTTTTGATATCAGGGAAGATCAAAAC